CTTGGAATGGTATTATTGATTTATACTCTGTAATATATATGCAAGGAAAGAGAACTGATAAAGATGTTGTCCAATATCAACCCTCATTTTTATTTACCATGATTTTTTATTTTATTTTATTTTATTTTTCTGTTGAAGCATTCCTTTGTAATTACTATCCTCAACCAATACCATTGCCCAAGGAAAGTCTCTCTATGCTTTTCTTCAACCCCATTAGAGTTATAGGGGCATTAGATTGGCATACTTTTTGAGTGATGTGATGTTTGGACGTGACATAATATCTTTTCATCTGTCAAAGCTTTTATCTCAATCATTCCAGAGTATAGATAAGACTCTGAGGCGAATAAAACAAATGTGTCCTTTAAATTGGCAGTCATCGTTATATTTGAAATTTGTTGTGTAAATTTCAGCAGTTTTAGTTATAGTCATTCACTTTGGATATTTTGTTCTGTTGTGCTATCTTCTTAAATGTAATTGTCTTGATATTGCAGGTAGGAGATTCCTCTTGTCTGCAGTGTGCTGCAACTCATGCAGATTCTCCTGCAAACAGCAAGGAGTCTGAGCAACCCAGTCCTGTTTCAGTTTTGGAAGCTCCTTTTGTTGAAGATGTTTCATCTGGTTCAGAGTGTTTTGAGAGAGTCAGCGCTGAACTTCATGGTGAGAATCTATATATGTGGTGCTTGTTTCTCTTTCAAGTTTCCCAATTAAATATATACATTTTTAAAAGTAACAATTCCATTTCAAGTAATGCTATTGCATCCTAAATTCTTTTATTTGGTATTTGTTACCAGGATTGTTAGATTTTAAGTCCATATGTTTCTAAAAGGATGCTATACAGCTAATGCTGGTGGTTATATAGAATCTGAATTTAAATCAAATTAGTATTTATTTTACACGGAACAGGAATGTAATGTGCTACGAAGTCTAGTAGACCAGTGTATTAACTGTGTACTACATAACAATTTAGGTAATATCGGCTAGTTTTTATATCTAATTTTTGTACATCATGGATCCCCTGTTGGTGTCCTTTTCAAGATTGCCAGAAGTAGCCTTCTCACTACTACCTAATGTGTACTTAACTACTGAACCTTTTGATATCATGCAAATGATATTCAATTCTTTTATGGCCTATTTGTTACTTTGCAAGCAATCAACTAATATGAATGATTTACTAGAATGGTCTTGAATGATGAAGATTCCATTTCTATGATCTGATTTGATTTTATACCAATTAAAGGAGGCTTTGGAGTTTCAATTAAGCTAGTTGGTTGGTTGGGTAAATATGGGTTTCAAATTATGAAAGTAGAGTACAGTGTTGGGATATGATCAAAGCACATATAAATTGTATTAGCTTTTGGATATGGGTTAATCAAATGGTTAGAACTAACCTCCCATATGTTTTCTTTTCCATATTAGTTTCAACTCAGGTGAAGGTAGTGTTATTTAAGGTGGAGACAATAATACTTTGATGTAAAGCTTTGAAATTCTGACAGTAATGATAATTCACTGACAAATATCTCTAAGCAATGAGGAAGTCTGAAGTTGCAATGAGGAAGTCTGAACTTTGTACACAGTTTTTCGTAAAGTGTTATTTAGGAAGGTTAAAGAAGAGGGGAGAGAACAAGAATTTAAAAGAGAAAGTTGGGGGGGGGGGTCCTTTAGGGTAGTGAGCTACTAAGTCATACTACATATTGATACCGCTTCCCTCTATCCATTTTTATTAAGATGTTTGGATTGAAGAAATGGAGGGAAAAGAAGAAAAGGGAAATGGAGGGAGGGAGTATCTTTCATTTGGATAACAAATTAGGGATGAAGGGAATTGGAGGCAAGAGAAATGGAGAAATTAAAATCTAAGAAAATGATCCCTCCAACAATTTGAGAGATTTGGAAGGAAAACTCTCCATTCTTCCTTCCCCTTCCTTTTCCTTTCCTCTTCACCTCCCTCTCTTTTCCTTCCCTTAATATTATCCAAACAAACTGTAAGGAAAACTCAGCTAGGATATTTGTTATTTAGACTTGGCTAGAAGTTTAAAGTCATACAGTCATTTTATGCAAGTTTTGTCTGATTTTGTCATAAAGTGAAGTGTGAAAGTCTCGAGTGTCCGACATGGGTACTTGAGAAGGAAATGAAGAGTGAAATAAACATATGGCAAAGATTAGAGACTATTAAAAAATTAAACTAGCATTAGTAGTTTGTTATCGGTGGTGGCAATGGTAATTGTTAATGTGCATTGCTTGTGAGTTGCATCAGTACGTATATGATGATGATTCCTAGATATGATGGATATTGCTATATAATGATGTTGCATATACGATGTAAACTTGTGTTTTTTTAATACTTGCCAATTGTTTTACCATTTGTTAGTAAATTTATCACTCTGAACATGTATTTCACTTTCAGGGTTAAGAAAACAACTTCAGCTTCTTAAGCTGGAATCAGAAGGTTACGATGAAGGATCTGTGGTTGTTTCCAGTGATGAGTACGGGGAGGATTCAACCGAGTTGCATGATGGCAAGCACTTTCCTCAAGCTGGAGAGTGCTGGGAATCTTGGTACTTGGTAGATGTGTTGGCCCTCTCTGGGCTTAATGAAACTGATTCTGAGTTGTTTCATGGAACGTGGCACTCCCCAGATTGTCCTATTGACCCCTGGGTGTTCGAAGATCTTGAGAAGAGATATGGTGAATTGGAGTCATGTTCAAGATCTGAGCGAAGACTGTTGTTTGACCATATAAATGCCCGAATAGTAGAGATCTCTGAGCAAATTGTAGATTTGGAGTCGTGGACATTGACATCAAGAAAGATTATTGGCCCACAATGGTTGAAAGATGTACTTAAAACCGAGCTTCATAAACTGCTTGAGAAGCAGGAAAAAAAGCTAGCAGAAAATGCCATTGACATGTTGATACTTAGTGACATGAGGTGGATGAAGCTTGGAGAGCACATCAGTGCTGTAGGTAGGGATATTGAAGTATTGTTAATAGATGAGCTAATAGCGGAATCCATTGTTGTGTAGAGAGGCCTCAGCATCTAATTTAATGTATATGTGTATGAACTGAGCGATCAGTTCGGTAGAGGACAATAAGCTGTCGAAAAATCTGTAGGAATTTTTTTACAAGAAATAAGAATTAGGATGATGTATGAACTTATCAGCTCCAAGTATATTAATCACAGTGTTAATGTTATTAGCTCATTAACATCGTTAGTCCTCATTAAATTTCGTTATTCTTGTAAATTTAGTACTCTCTCCGTTTCATAATGGTGTTTCTGTTTACGTAAATCAATGTAAATTTTTACCTATTTTTGACCACAAATATCTTTAGTATCACATTAGCAAAAAAATAAAAAGGTTAGATATTAATAATAAACTCATGAAGATGAATTAAATTAAATTTCATACGACTATATTTGTTCTTAGAAATTGAAAGAAATTTAGAAGATTATATCATATTTTTACTGGAAAAATTGATTCAAATAATCCCACTTTTGTCCGGTTCGCTATTAATAATCCCACCTTTAAATTATTATTTAATAATCCCACCTTCATAGGGGATTTTCTTCTATTGGTCCTGACCTGTTGGTAACCGGTTTTGATAAGTTAATATGCCACGTGTCATTTTATAATTGGTTGAAAAAAATTAAAAAAAAGTTAAAAACTAAAAAAAAAAAAAACCATCAGCCACCCTCATCCACCGTGAACCCTTAACCCTCACCTTCGCCCCACCAAAAATCGGCCGGCCGCCACCCTAAACCCCCCGTAAACAGCCGGCCGGAACCCAGTAATACAGAACCCACCCATCTGATCAAAAGGCACCCACGAAATCACCCTCTAAAACGTTTCCCAACCCCAAACCACCATAACCACCACCTTGAAAAACACCATAACCCGCCGAAAACCTCCTCTCACCCCCAAAAACCGCCGAAAAGTCCCTCTAGCCATCGAAACTCCAGCCTAAGACATCCCCTTCTGCTATTCTGCTATTAAAGGGTTTTTTTTTTTTTTTTTAACTTTTTTTTTCTTAAATCATTGAAATTAATGGTTGGTTTTGCTGTGTGGGGTTGGGAATATGGGTCCCGGTTTTGGCGGTGGAGTTGCAGATTCCAGCGGTAGGGATGGGCGTTTCTGCAGTAGGGATGGGGGGAGAGACTGCGGAGGTTGGGGTTAGGGTGGTTGGGCTGGGGGTTGGCCGGGTATTTTTACAATAATTTTTTTTAAAGGTTTTTGGTTTTTTCTTTTGGAAAATTTGCAAATTGCAGCCATTTAAAGTTCGTATTTGTAAATTGCAGCCATTTAAATTTTTTTTGCAAATTGCAGCTCAAAAGTTCGTATAAACTGTAAATTGCAGCCCGATTCAACTTTTTCATCGCTTACATGTCGAAAAATCTCCGATTAAGGTTTTAGGGGTCATTTAAGCCATTAGGAGCCCGAATTGAGCTCAGAATTATCAAAAAAATAACGTAAGTGTCTCATATTTATAGTTTCCCACAAATTAATACATTTTTGTTAAGTAAAACGAGGCATTTGCGTTATTTTTTTGCTAATTTCGAGCTCAATTTGGGCCCCTAAGAGCTAAAATGGCCTCTAAACCTTAATCGGAGATTTTTCGACTTGTAAACCGATGAAAAAGTTGAATCGGGCTGCAATTTACAATTTATACGAACTTTTGGGCTGCAATTTGCAATTTTTTTTAAATGGCTGCAATTTGCAAAATACGAACTTTAAATGACTGCAATTTGCAAATTTTCCTTTTCTTTTTGGCCAATTATTTGGTGACATGTGTCACTCAACTTAAAAAAAACAAAATAGTTTACCTAATGTATAGGTTACCGGTCACTAAAGACCGATAGAAGAAAATCCCTTACAAAGGTGGGATTATTAAATAATAATCTAAATGTGGGATTATTAAAAGTAAATCGTGCAAAGGTGGGATTATAAAAATCAATTTTTCCATTTTTAAAAAGTCAAAGATTCCAATTACAGAAACATCATTGTGAAAGCGAGGGAGTATTTTTGTATGCTTAAATATATCATGTATGGATCTTAATTTAATGCAGACGAACTGACAAAGTATATACTATCAAATCCCTCTGACAATAACTCCCAATCTTACTATGTACGGAGTATATGATATCATCCAATCAAATGCAAGAGTAACAAGATTTTGCAAAGAATCTAATGTGGACATTTTCGACTAAAACTTAATGTGCAAAATATGCAAATTTTAACCTGAGAAATTAGGCTTTGAACCTATCCTATAGCACCAGTAATAAGGAGTACAATGCGTTTTTTGTGTGGTTGGCCATATAAGTAATCCGTATAGCACTCATAGAACAACTCTATTCGTATAATATTGTTAGAGTAATCCTTTGTAATACTTTTTGAGTAACTCTATTGTTTCTGATAACAGAATACTCCTCGGTGTTAGGGTAATCAAGATATCCTAGAACTATGTCCAATGTATGTCCGAATTTCCCTCAGCTATGCCTTGCTGTCCGAGAGCTAGGCCTGCAAAAGAGAAAGAAGGTTAACTGCCCCGGGGGTGTGACCCGGGAAAGCCCCTCCGATGCTTAAGTTAGCGAATGTACTTTCTAGAGATAGAAAGTAGAGAGAGAAGGAGTACTTTAGAGAGAGAAAGTAGAGAGAGAAGGTTAGAGAATTAGGAAAAAGTTACCATCATTAATGATTGGAGAGCTATTTATAGATGTACTTTCAGGTGGCAGAAGTTGTACTTAATTGGACAAATTAGGGATTAAATCTGTACTTTGCTCCGATTAATGATGGGCTGGATCATGGAGGGGTATTTTCGTAATTCCAGGTCAATGGGCTTAGGACAATGGACTTGGCCCAAACATTTATCCCCACGCGTGATGTGGGAACGAGATCGCATGAAGTTCGGATATCACGCGAATAAAGATGAGATAAGTTATTGCATATGCCGGAGTAAAAACCCGAGGCATATCTGAGGGCTAAAACGACCCCCAAGGGTATCTGAGGGCTAAAAAAGGAGCCCCAAGGGTATCTGAGGGCTAAAAAAGGAGTCCCAAGCGACTTGCAAGGGTGAAAACCAGCCCCAAGCAATGCATTGATGGTACTTTAATTCAGATGATTGAGCAGTTTTGAGAGCTAAGCCTGATGATGGCTTAGGGATAACTGTTGGACTTTCCATTTTCAGAATATTTTCTTCAGGTTGAGCTCCATGTATTTTGCTGAAGGCATGTCTTGTTTCCATTTTCCACTATCCTTGGGATTTTTAGAGATAAGCTGATGATGATTCAATGCTAATTAAGCTTGTAATTAAGCTTAATCCTTTAATGGCGACTTTCTGGGCTCAAGCATCACTTAGGCCCATTTGAACCAGGGTTTTGAGGAGTTGCCATCTCCTTAGCTTGAACATATGAACTCCCACCTCACCTCATTTGCTTTTCACCCTTTTCATTTTCCTTAGAGAATTTTCAAAAATCCTCTCCAATTTCTCCTAAGTTCTTGAGAGTTTGAGTGTTCAAGTCACATCACTCAAGCTTGCCTTATTCAAGTTCTTCCAAGTTCATCAAGATCTTCAAGAGGTATATGGAAATTTCCACTTTTTGATTTATTTTCATAGATCCAAAAGCATGTCTAGGCGTTTTTTGTACTTGGAAATTCTGAAATTTTGAATTTATTTTAGGGGTAGGCATACTTGAACTTTGAATTGATTTAACCCTGGGGTAGAATGGCTATGCTCAGCCGAAATTAAGGATTTTTCTTTATAATTTTCGGATTTTTGGGAATCTTGAGTGGCTGTTTCGATTTTTTTATTTTTATTTATTTATTTATTTATTTTTTACGGGGTAGAGGTAGCGATGCCCAACTATGCCCAGCTCTCGGCCAGGTTGGTTATATCGAATGCTAGGCCTGAAATCCGGGGGGGGGGGGTGGGGGAGGCTAGGTTACCTGACAGCGCGGAAGGCCTAGCGGGTATGCCTCGGCCGAGGGGTCGTCTTGTCGGGCTAAAGGGGTATTACACTCGGCTGAGGGGGTTTTTAGAGTGAGAGCCGAGGGATGTGCTCGGTTAGCTCGGTCATGCCGAGAGGGTTGGGGTGCTGGCCGAATGGGTGCGCGGCGCGCCGAGGGGGTGCGTGGCGCGCGACGTGCGGAGGATAGCCCGGGTGAGGAAGAGCCTAGGTTAGAAGAGAGATAAGAGAGGGAGGTGTGATAAGCCGAGGGAGTCAAGGCGGGCTGTGCGCTGAGGGCCTCCCAGGACGAGGGCTGGAACACGGGCCGAGGTGTTCCGAGCGATAGGCGAGGAGGAGCCCTGCTTGGCCGAGAAGGGTATGCGGTCGAGCTGGGCGTTCGGTGTCGCTCTTTTGAGGGGTAGCATGCCTAGCGGAGGTCGGAAGAATGGTTTTTGAGTAATTAATGAGGAAGAGAAGGGGATGACCGAGAGGGTATTTGATGCCCACGCCGAAGGGCTTCAAGCGCGGTTAAGGGGGTAAGACGCGATGAGGGCCACTTCGAAAACACGCCCAGCTCTCGGACTTTGGTAGGTTAGGGTCTGCATTGTGATGTGAGAGCCATGGAGAGGGGGTATGTCGAAGGGGTTTCCGCGCGGCCCGAGGGGGTCACCTGGCGCGCAGAAGGCCTGTTTGGCCGAGTGAAAAAGCCAAGGAGAGAGAAAGACGATGGGGGAGCGCACCCAACTCTCGGCCCCCGCACTTAGAAAATTTTGGCTTTTAGCTGGTGCTATGCCGAGGGAGTTGAAGCCAATACTTAACCAAATTTTTAGTTAAGTTTTTGAGAGAGTTTTTTTTAGTACCTTGTTCATGTTCCTCAGCTGGGCTTGATCTTTGAAAATTTTCTAACACTTGAATTTTTTGTTTGAAGTTTCAGGAGTACTTCTCCCCGAGGTGCTTGATTAGCTTCAAGATAATTCTTTTCGGCCTCTCTGACCACTTGGTGAGCCTTCTATATTAGTTTTTTAAGCTAAAAGTATCATGCCTCCATGCTTAGTAATTGTTTGCTACTTTTTCTTGTATGCTTGATTGTTCCTCGGTTGCGCTATTGTTGATGTTAGGCTTAGAGGTAAGCTTGTTGTATTCTTGTATGTACATTGAGCATTCTTTCGGGGTAGTCTTGAGTTGAGCTATGCATGTATCATGATTGACCAAGCGACTCAAGACTACCTTGACTCTCTCCCCGGCCCTTCATCTTATGACTTGTCCAAGGAAATCTGGGCGGGGGGAGTACTTGTAACAAATGTGATTGGTAGTAGTGTTGATTCT